GTTGTGAGTTTATATAACCAGAGGTACTCGGCAAGGTTCATACACAGCCATATAACATATCTGACATCTTTATAACAAAAAACAAGAGAACTACTTCATAATTTGATAGAAACGAAATAATGTTCATCCATTACAAACATGTATTATATTAGACTTTAAACAGCACATTTTCAGATTCATGCTAATCTTCTAAAATAATTTAGAAGTTGTTTTGATTAGTAAAAACTCTGTGTTCAAATACAGCACATTTACTTAGCTCAATTCACAATTCTTACAATCATTACACTATTTCCTTACTGAACAGTATCTGAAATCCAGTGCATTATTGCAGGATAGTGCACAAAGCATTATGATAATACACAGTAGTAGGATAGAAATGTTAACATGCCATTATGACAACATTTATGATGTCAACTTAACAAAATGATGTCAGGAAAATTGCTTCTCCTTTTAGCATGTTAGAATGGAAAATTACATTTTAGTTCAATAATACATGGTTTATCATTCAAATCACTCCAGCTTGCAAGCCTTCCAGATATATCACTGCTTATCTGACCTCAAACTGCATTATTTTCTAACAATATACCTTTCCTAACTGCCATAATTGTAGACTACAAACTTCTGCTTTTAACTTAGTTTGCCAGTTCTAGAATGCTACTTCACCACTGGTCCATTGTAATGGTAGGTTTATTTTCATTCTTATTACAACAACTGGATATTTGTTATTTAAAAATGACAATCATCATAGTTTTCAATTGAAGAATGATAACACCATTAGACAAGTAAACCACATCCAGTCACCACAGTTTTGTAGCAGTTTTAACATAGTTTAACATACATTCAACAAGTAGCCAACAACTTCTCTACTTGAACAGGTTACATCTTACAATGTTCATCTTTTGCAGGAGTGCTAACATGCATAATCCAGTCCATAGTTAATGCTATGACAGGGCTATTTTCATGGGCACAGGGAATGGGCCTTTTCCTTAAATTTGTGGAAAGATAACTTTCATTTTTACAAAAGGGGCAGAAAAAACTTATGGGAAAACAGCACAATTATTAAAAAACATTCAAGGGGAAAGACATCTTTAAATGGCCTTTGCTACAGGAAGGGGGAAAAAACTGATCACTGTTGTCTTATTAGCACAATCTATAAAAAAACATACTAGGGGGAAGACACCTTAAAATGGCCCTTGCTACAGGAGGAAAAAACGCTCTGATAACTGTTGTCCTATTAATCTTAATGATCAAGAAAAAAAAAAGAAGTTTTGATCCAATTTTTTAATATGCATCTCTAGAAAACTGGGGGAAAAAATAAAACCATTATCCGAGAGGGATGAAGAAAAAGAATCGTTCTCCATCTTTTAGCATTATAAAGTCATTCCTCATCTTATTGTATTATATAAAGTGTCTGCAGAAAAAACTAGTCTGCATTTATCCATTACACTGTTGTCTATTGCAGTGCTGAGTCACGGATAGTAATTTATGGTTGGCAGAAAGGCCGACCAATTATGATCAATCCTACACATTTATCCTTTCAGACAATCAAACATTTCTTATCCTTCCTTTAATAAATGAGTTTGTATCCATCTGATCAAAAAGAGAGCAGTTAAGGGGCATCTGGGATGTATGATGCTTCAAAATAATTTTGTCCAGGTTTTTTGCTTTTTGCTTTCATTTCAATAACATGAAAATAACAACATTTACATTCTTTGGAGAGAATTTTCGATTTGGTAGTCTTAGATTATAGATGGTGGCACTTTAAAAGACTTGTTAATACTATAGAAATGACATTTATTTCTCTGTAAAATTTTGTAAATATAGATATATGCAAGTTTGTTAAGTGAAAGTGAGTTGTGACATATATACCAATTAATATTTTTAAACCAATACATAAACATTATGCATATAAAATGGCAAAATTCTCCATGTGATAATGGAGATCTCCTATATTTCAAAAGTTTGGAGGGTTTTTTTTTGTTTTTACAGAATTTTGAAAGACGTTCTGTGACAGATAAGTTTCAACACTAGTAAACAAATAATTTTTAACCCTCATAGCATTGCCAGCACCAACAACTTGTTTATGCCACCGTTGTCACGCCAGGTTTGCTGGAATATCCAAGCAGTCTGATCTGCCTCTATACTGGTGGCATCACAATATTTAAATCTCTAGTACTCTATGGCCAGGTCACCAAATTCTAAGCAGAAAACCCCATTTTACAGCAAAATTAAAATTTCAAGAAACTTGGGTCTTGCAGCCCTGTGACCCAGTCTGAAATAGTTCGATCATGCACAAACAAACAACAACACATATATAACATAGGACACACATGCCCCCATATTCCACCATTTTGTCAATGTAAGAACAGCATTTCAGTGAGACAGATGCACCTAAATGGGGGCAAAAAAAACCTACATAGGGCATAAAACCTCTAAATTGTGGAATAAAATCCCAACATGGCAGCATAAAACTCCTAAATGGGGAAATAAAACCCCTAAATGCAAGCACAACACTCCTCAATGGGGGGGCATAATATAAAAAGAATGAGGTTTTCAATACATCGAAAACCTATAAATTTAAACATATTTATATGTTTTAAGATTTTCATGCAATTGCTGTTCTAGTTTAAACAAAAACCATTTTAATGGAATGTCAAGGACTAGGAATTAAATTTTTTTTATATCTCTTTCATTATATTTTACAAATCTCAGCGATTTAAAATTGAAAGGAAAGGCCTATGTAATAATATTTTTATCCTGTTGAACTTTGTCCCAATCAACCCTTTCTATACACAATGAAAACTGAAACATGCAGCTTAATTGTATTCAGTTTTATTCAACGGGGATAAACTCTCCCCCTGCTCAATCTTGTTGTCATTGTGAAATTTCGCGCGGAAAACAATAGATGAAGTTGCATCTTGCCCTGTAGTAAGCTCTACACTTTCATGTCCAACAAATATTTTATATCATACAGTATCAAACAGAAACATATTATAACTGGTAAAATGTATTTTAATCGGATTCACAAGTGACTTTTATGCACTTAATAGCTCTTAGACAGTTACGTGTGTATGTTTTGTTTCAGGTAGGGGGGGGGGGGGGAATTTTATACTGAGGTTTTAAAAGAAGTAAAAAATATTGAAGTACAAAGTATAATTTCCCTCTTATGTGCGATTAATGACCGATTTAGCAGTACATTTCACCATATTTCTAGTGCATTATTTTTACAGTACGGGCTTTTTTTTTCTTCTTCATATTTTGACCCCTTTTTGGTAATAAACATTTGTTGTAAGTGCTGTTTGCAATGTGTAAATTATTTTCTTTGCTCACTTCACAGTATTTTACTTTAAAATACATTTTCAATATTTTCATGAAAATAAGAAGCACCGTGGAGCTGTGCTGCTCTAACCTGCTGTGACCGAAAATGGTAAACTAAACCATGGCCACCTAAATAGATCCAGGCCAGTCGGCACACTTTAGTAGTCTATTGGCTGACAAACTTTCATCCCGAAGTCCCCAAAATTCATAATGGAAAATTCCAAAAATGGAAGCCGGACATGTCCATTTGAAAAATTCAGCAGGTTGGGGGTTCAGAAAGATGTGCATACATACTCAGATACAATATTTAAAAGTAAATCACTAGCAAGTTAACCTGAAAATGTACCTGGGAAACTATAGTAGGATTTAAAATGTTTTTAGATAATATTACTTTTTTATTTTGCCTTCATGGGTGGCTGTTTATTTATTGTTCAGAAAAAACCTATCACGTCAGACCACATAATATGTCTGTGTATATTTTACCCACCTTTTTAGTTATAACAGCTTTATTTTTTCACTCCATACTTTCAGAGATGACTTTATCTTCTTTTCTCTTTATATCATATTTATAATCTACCCTTACTGATGAGCTATGGCTTATCAGCAGTCAAAGAAAGTCTAGGCGGGGAGTAACATTACTATTTTATACAGCCTTTCTATACAATCTGATTCTCTTTCTTATTCTGAACAAGATATAAAATACAGACACCCCCACGCAATCTGTAATTATTAACTTTTTTATTCTGAAATTTTGTAAATTTTTGAAGATCAAGGTCATTTAAGGGTCAAAGTGGAGCTCTCAACTGCAGAAATGTATTGGCCAATGTATGTACAGGCTCTAGATGAAAGCATGAAGATGTAATGGCTAAGATTAAAGATGTCCCTCTGAAGACAAACCAACAGATATACTAGACAACATCAATATACCCCACCCCACGATCTATAGATGGGGGGGGGGGGGGAAAATAAAATACAGGCATATAAATCAGTAACTATTCTACATATATAAAATCATTTTAGAATCAGTTGCAAAAAATATTTATATTCTACTTATTTGCCTATATAACCTTGACATTGCTTAGATTCAAAGTTGAGCAAGTTAATCAGATTTTCACAAGAACAAAGTGCGTATGCTAATCAAAATTCGTAAATCCACACCTTAGTGAAGCAATGTACTAACTCCTTACATAATTTAATAGCAGTTAACCTGTTACTGCACTAAGGTGACGAAATATGGTCTCTGGTCAATCTGATTTTGACCATAAGCTAGCTGACTCAGCAATGCGATAACTTGACATTTGCTTCATGATTACTTACACAATTTATTTAATAATCATTTAAATAAGAATAAAATGTTACAAATTCGAAGCAGGGATATATGTACATTACACATATTCAGCATGTAAAGGATTAGTTTCCTATGTTATATTTTGGGGGGGGGGAGTTAAAAGTTCCCCCTGTATTATCTGTCACTATCAATGCTTCTATTGCGCTCCTTTATTGTATCTAATAAACTGTATAAATAGTAACTTGAAGGCAAACAGGCTATTTTCTACACTAAATTTGTAAGACTTGTTTTCATGGAGACACTGCTTAGTGTTTGCCTAGTACTCTGTGACTTTCCTTCAGGTGTAAAAATAAATTGACACATTTGTCTTAAAATTCAAAGAACATGCTTATTGTTTCACAGAAATAAGTATTACTGTATCCTATTTTTACCACTGCTTTTTTATTTTCCTTGTATGTCCACTTCCCCTTAGAAAACTTCTTTTAACATATATATTTCAGAATCTCAAATAACTATGCAATTTTCCCTATACAAGTGCTTTACATCAGGGTTTTTTCATTATTTCCCTATAGCAGTCTTGAGTATCTTCATGAAAATAAGATCATCTCATAACACACTGATATAAAGCACAACACAGACTAGTATCTAACAAAGTAATGGTCACAAAACTTACCTTGTAAATTGCTGGTATATGCACCCTGCCTCTAGTTTTGCATATTGACTCTGAAAAAGACAATATATAAATTGTAATCATGGCATGCATTTCATCCGTAAAATATATTGTATCATGGAAAAAAACAACAACATATTTTTACAATTATACATTTAATAATGTACATTCATCTGTTATGATCATGTCTAACTAGCTCCTTGATTTATATATCTAGTGGTGAGTTGTTTTTCTGAAACATACTCAACAATTTTTAAAGGGCAATAACTCCAAAATTGTCTAAAAAAGTTCAGGTTCTTGTACATTGCACTTTTACATTATGTGATCTCTGACTATAAACCTCCATGTTGATTCCTCATAATTACAATCTTCATGTCAATGATACATGAAAAATTTCAAATGGTATTAACTTTAAAATTATACAAAAGAAAGTTATGGATCTTGTTCCCTGCACTTCTCATTGACATATTTCCTGTAAGTCGACACATCTTATAGTTATGATGGTCAGCAATCATATTTCATAGTATTACTCTAGACAAAAAAGTTTGATAGGTTGAGACTGTGAATTGGGCGACCCGGGTTCAATTCTCAGACGGTGCAGGTCACTTTCGTTGCGACTGATCATGAAATCTTTTCTACGGTCTTTCTCACTGTACCTCTGCTCTGGTATGTAACTAGTACTGGCAAACTGCCTGGCTGAACTGTGCTCTGGTAAATTCAATGTGGTTTACTGCTGTGATCCAGCGTGAAAACTACCAACAACACCACCACCATTAAGTTTTACCCAGCAACTAGCCTACACTGCTAGCTTGCTACTTCAAAAAGTAATGTCACTCTCAGACATTTTACACCAAATGAGATACAAGAACTCAAAGACTGTTCCCCTTTACTCTTTTATATATGCCTACCTCATTTCGAAACAGTCACAATGTCTTTATGCAGCACATGCAAGTCAAGTTTATACACATGGTCAACCATCATCATTCTATGACAAAGCCACTCTGTAAATAGAAAAACAAGATAAACTAATTTCATGACATAGAAACGCATCTAACAAACAAGAAGTTGTAGCCCTTGACAAAATTATAAATAAATCTGAACAAGTCATTTGAAAATAAAAAAAGAAAGTTTCTGCTCCGGACTTTATTGTTTTGTGGATCATCTAACTGTGACCCCATCTTTAAAATGGTGACTTGGGGAGCATTCAGTAGAAGTTTCATCAAGCCCAAGGCACCTATACAAGAAACAAATACTTTTCTCATTGCAGCAACAACATTGATTGACAAAAGCACCCTTTGAAATTTTATAGTGATGACTGATTTCAATTTACAATTTGTCAATGTTTGTAAGTAGTGTCTAAACTAGACTCAGAAAATGAACCATTCAGTACTATTTGTTGGGTTTCAATCATATCAACACTTTAAGGGTAAAATGGAGAAAGTCCAGCTTATCTCAGAGGGAAATCTTGGGTTACCCTTTCATTATTGCATTATTTCTAGCAAAGGGGCAAACAAGTAGAAGCACCGGTCATTTCTAAAAAGTTGTAAGCAAGCCCGACTGACTATATAACAAGAGCTGTCCTTTCTTCTTCTTATCAATCGATTAAAGCATACATGAAAATTACTTGTAAGTTGAAAAAATTATCACAATACCACAACATTAATCGTCACACTAGATTGTTATTTAATTTATATGCCATATTTAAATTAAGATCACTTTTATTTTTAAAAGGCTAGTCATTTAAAAGATGAACAAGGTTTTGCAGCCAAGTGATACACTCGCCATACATTGCCAAATATAGATATGAACATAACACATGTGATGAAGCTTGTATTTTATATGTAATCACATATCATATGATTGACCTCCGCCCATTTTTATTATGTATAAATTGGCTTTTTAGTAAGTTGTCTTACATATTACTGTCCATCAATAAATATATAATGTTAATTATGTTTTACATATACAGTGTTCAAATGTTATCCTGATGTACTTTAAAGCACAAAGTACTTTGAAACTTGTGTAACTTTGTGATTCAAAATATCTAAGTACATTAATTACTTTCATCTGAACATTTAATGGCAATAATGACTTGTCTATGTATCAAAAATACAGCGAATGACGTAACCGAGTTCCCTTCAGGTGCTTATTAGTTCAAAGTATTTTCATTTAATGTCCCCCCCCCCCCCTGATGTACTTTAAAGCACAAAGTACTTTGAAACTTGTGTAACTTTGTGATTCAAAATATCTAAGTACATTAATTACTTTCATCTGAACATTTAATGGCAATAATGACTTGTCTATGTATCAAAAATACAGCGAATGACGTAACCGAGTTCCCTTCAGCTGCTTATTTATTAAAGTATTTTCATTTAATGCCCCCCACCCCACACACACATTTTGTAGAAGTATAGATTTATAATCCATAATGAATGAGCAATTCAAACAATCCAAATATTTTATTAAAAAAATAACAATTAATAACACTCCAGTTAATGTAAAATCATTTAAAAAATAATCCTGTATTATACATTAGATCATTATATTGAATGAATAATGATTTATTTTATTATATTGGAGGAATAATGATTTTTAATGTCAAATTGTATCTTTAATAAATACATTTCAAAGCACTTTTTTAATAGTTCTTTAAGCACCCCCCCCTTGAAAAAACGCAAGCCCCTAGAGGCTTAAACAAAACGAAATGTTTGAATTGTACAAAATTGACAAAACTACATATTTGTATAAAAACATGTGACAACATTTGTCCCTGAACTAGTTTTCCTTAGGAACGTTTTCAGATACACATGTTAGTAAGTCACTGTAACATATGTTCAGACAGTATTGTAACATATTGATAATGGCTTGTCTACTTTTCTTTTTTTTAAGTAAAAAAACAAATTATTATGAAGATGATTACCAAATGAAGTGATTATTAGCAATGGAGTACAGACCTCCCGAAAGTTAAAAAAAAGAGTGTCAGACATTCGGTCAGACAAACCATGAAAATCTGTCAGACCGAAAAGAAATATGTCCGACCGAATGACATTAATCTAAAATCAAAGGAAATCTTGTGCTTTCTAAGAAACTTTTCGGTTTATTTTTTCATCCTTTTACTGCTGTTCTGCGCCCTCCTCTGACGTAGATTTTCTTTTTTTCCAAGATTTGTCACCTTTAGCGACGCCATTTTGTATACATGCGACTTGGAAAAAAGGAGGACAGTTGATCCGGAATAAAAAATCTTCCGACCTAATCAAAATTTATTGGACATGTTTGTCGGACCGAGGTATTTTGGGAAGTCTTGGGAGTACAAAACTTACAAGGTGAGGGAGGGACAGATCAAGGGAGGGACCAAGGGATGGAGGAATGGAAGGATCAACTAGAGGATGCTTTTGTAAAAAAGCGCATGTCTCCCCCACTGCTGAGAATAACTGTGAATGGAAACAGGAATGGAACTGGAGAAATCCGGAAATGAGAAAATGACCAATGGTCACTGTGACCTTAACCTTTGACCTACTGACCCCATAAACAAGAGGGATCATCTGCTCAATAAGACCAATCATCCTATGAAGTTTGAGGGTTGTAGGTCTCAAGGAACTCTAGTTATCATCCGGAAAGGAGAAATTAACCAACGGTCGCTGTGACCTTGACCTTTGACCTACTGACCATTAAAACAATAGGGATCATTTGATTAATAAGACCAATCATCCTATGAAGTTTGAGGGTTGTAGGTCAAAAGGAACTCTAGTTATCATCCGGAAATGAGAAATTGACCAACGGTCACTGTGACCTTGACCTTTGACCTACTGACCCCAAAAACAATAGGGATCATCTGCTCTATAAGACCAATCATCCTATGAAGTTTGAGGGCTGTAGGTCAAAAGGAACTCTAGTTATCATCCGGAAACAAGAAATTGACCAACGGTCACTGTGACCTTGACCTTTGAACTACTGACCCAAAAACAATAGGGATCATCTGCTCAATAAGACCAATCATCCTATGAAGTTTGAGGTCTGTAGGTCTAAAGGAACTCTAGTTATCATCCGGAAACGAGAAATTGACCAACGGTCAGTGTGACCTTGACCTTTGACCTACTGACCCCAAAAACAATAGGGATCATCAGCTCTATAAGACCAATCATCCTATGAAGTTTGAGGGCTGTAGGTCAAAAGGAACTCTAGTTATCGTCCGGAAACGAAGAATGGACGGACTGACGGACTGACGGACGGACTGACGGACGGACAGGGCAAAAACAATATGTCTCCCCCCGAGGTGGGGGAGACATAAAAAGGAAAATGCATTAAATATGTCACAGGGTGTGAAAAATGTGCAGCCTGACCAAGACTCAAAACCAGGCCCTCGTGATCCCATTCCCCAGTTCTAGCAAATGAGCTATCAGGCCGCTTTCACATCTTCTCCCCTAAATAGTCTTCTGAATCATGACGTACTCTCCCGCTATATTGAAATTCGTCCTCGAAATGACACAAATTTCACACAGCTACAGAGCAAAACATGAATTAAACTCTTGAGCTTTATTGCGTCACAGTCCCCTGTTGGAAGCAAAATGTCACAGGGTGTGAAAAAATGTGCAGTCTGAACGGGGCTCAAATCTGGGACCCTCGTAATACCTTTCAGAAACTCTACGAAATGAGCTATAAGGCGGCATATACAAGGGTAAATAAATTTTACACAAAAATCAATAGCACATACATATACATATCATTAGGCCATCCTTAAAAAAATGTTTGTTTGCAGTAACCCGACCCAGAATTGGTGGGTAGGTAGGTCGATTTTTTTTTTATTATTGAACTGTACTCCCAAATAATCATGGAATTTCAAAATGCTGGACAATATATGCTTTGATAATCTGGTAACAATTAATAAATTGATAACTGAATTCTAATTTAATAAGACCTACATTTTATTTCTTCCATTAACCTTTAAAAGAACGAAAACAAAGCACAAGGCATAATTTTCTGATTCAATTTTATCCAAGCCATGAAAAAAAATTTAGAGTAGGGGCAAATTTTGTGAGTCGGTCGCGTTACTGCAAACAAACATTTTTTTAAGGATGGCCTTATCATATGGAAACTCCAATTTGGCAATAGCTTTGGCATTTAATGACAGGAACTCACATTTTTTATGATTTTTTTTTTTTCATTACAAATTTAAAGGTTAGGCTCGTAGGCCTCATTTTCAGACTTACTTTTCTTAGTTTTTTGTTTGTTTGTATTTTACAATTTACAATTGTCATCTTTATATCAATACAATTTACAATTGTCATCTTTATATCAATTAAACATATTTTGAAACTTGAATTTAGTAAAATTAAATGATGGCCAGAAATTCATCACTTTCTGAAGATTCATGAATTATACATTTTTATGCTATGGTTAACATTACAAACAATAACACATTTCAAACTTCTTATTTTCAAGCATGCAAAGTTATAATGTGCATTGTTCACAGAAATTTCTTAGCTCTCATTTCTGGGGAAACTTTCTAGTAAGTAATTATACAAACATGTATCCAATATTCCGAAGAAATATTCATAAAAGTATGCATCGGCATGCTGTATGACAAATTTCTTTGCAGACTTTAAAAACTACATCTGATTTTATGGGGGGGGGGGGGGGGGGGGAGAGATTCTGGCAATAAAAGTATGTGTCTATATGGCCTTTGACAAAGATATTCTCATATTCTCAGACTTTTTTTGTAACGAAAGCCATAAGTCTTGGGAATGATTCCTTATATATCAAATTACACTATCGTCCAAAACCAATAATTCCCCCGATTATCCCAGACTAAAAAAAATAATGCAAGTTTGCACATTTTTCACTGTCTACTTTTCCCTATGTTTTATCTTCATAGGGCTGGATATTTATTGATTGTCTTTCGTTTTCTTTATCTTTTTCTTTCTATTTGATATTACTCATTCTTGAGGGGATGTATACACCTCCCAAGATCAACTTCTTATCTATGCAAGAGATAAAACCGCTTGTATAGGCTGTATTTTGATTGGCCGAGACACATTTTTCTAC